CTTCGTGCTTTTCGACCTCCCAGAACTCCATTCCCGGGCCACATTCTGAATGCCCGGAGCCAACTGTACGCCACTTCGTGCTCTTCGACTTCCCAGAACTCCATTCCCGGGCCACATTTTGGATGCCCGGAGCCAACTGTAGGCCACTTCGTGCTCTTCGAGTTCCCAGAACTCCATTCCCGGGCCACATTTTGGATGCCCGGAGCCAACTGTAGGCCACTTCGTGCTCTTCGAGTTCCCAGAACTCCATTCCCGGGCCACATTTTGAATGCCCCGAGCCAACTGTAGGCCACTTCGTGATCTTCGAGTTCCCAGAATTCCATTCCTGGGCATGATTTTGAATGCCCGGAGCCAACTGTAGGCCACTTCGTGTTCTTCGAGTTCCCAGAACTCCATTCCCGGGCCACATTTTGAATGCTGAGGCAGGCTGAGGCTGAGGCAGGCTGAGGCTGAGGCAGGCTGAGGCTGAGGCCGAGGCTGAAGGCAGACTGAGGCTGAGGCTGAAGCAGGCTGAGGCTGAGGCTGAGGCAGGCTGAGGCTGAGGCTGAAGCAGGCTGATGCTGAGGCAGGCTGAGGCTGAGGCTGAGGCTGATGCAGGCTGAGGCTGAGGCAGGCTGAGGCTGAGGCTGAGGCCAAGGCTCAAGGCAGACTGAGGCTTTGGCTGAAGCAGGCTGAGGCTGAGGCTGAGGCTGAGTCAGGCTGAGGCTGAGGCTGAGGCAGGCTGATGCTGAGGCAGGCTGAGGCTGAGGCTGAGGCTGATGCAGGCTGAGGCTGAGGCAGGCTGAGGCTGAGGCCGAGGCTGAAGGCAGACTGAGGCTGAGGCTGAAGCAGGCTGAGGCTGAGGCTGAGGCAGGATGAGGCTGAGGCTGAGGCAGGCTGATGCTGAGGCAGGCTGAGGCTGAGGCTGAGGCTGATGCAGGCTGAGGCAGGCTGAGGCTGAGGCCGAGGCTGAAGGCAGACTGAGGCTGAGGCTGAAGCAGGCTGAGGCTGAGGCTGAGGCAGGCTGAGGCTGAGGCTGAGACAGGCTGATGCTGAGGCAGGCTGAGGCTGAGGCTGAGGCTGATGCAGGCTGAGGCTGAAGGCAGGCTGAGGCTGAGGCCGAGGCTGAAGGCAGACTGAGGCTGAGGCTGAAGCAGGCTGAGGCTGAGGCTGAGGCAGGCTGAGGCTGAGGCAGGCTGAGGCTGAGGCTGAGGCTGATGCAGGGTGAGGCTGAGGCAGGCTGAGGCCGAGGCTGAAGGCAGACTGATGTTGAGGCTGAAGCAGGCTGAGGGCGAGGCTGAGGCAGGCTGAGGCTGAGGCAGGCTGAGGCTGAGGCTGAGGCAGGCTGAGGCTGAGGCTGATGCTGGCTGAGGCTGAGGCAGGCTGAGGCTAAGGCTGAGGCTGATGCAGGCTGAGGCTGCGGCAGGCTGAGGCTGAGGCGGAGGCTGAAGGCAGACTGAGGCTGAGGCTGAAGCAGGCTGAGGCTGAGGCTGAGGCAGGCGAGGCTGAGGCTGAGGCAGGCTGAGGCTGAGGCAGGCTGAGGCTGAGGCCGAGGCTGAAGGCAGACTGAGGCTGAGGCTGAAGCAGGCTGAGGCTGAGGCAGGCAGGCTGAGGCTGAGGCTGAGGCAGGCTGATGCTGAGGCTGAGGCTGAGGCTGAGGCTGAGGCTGAGGCTGAGGCAGGCTGAGGCTGAGGCTGAGGCTGATGCAGGCTGAGGCTGGCGGAGGCTGAGGCCGAGGCGAAGGCAGACTGAGGCTGAGGCTGAAGCAGGCTGAGGCTGAGGCAGAGGCAGGCTGAGGCTGAGGCTGAGGCAGGCTGATGCTGAGGCAGGCTGAGGCTGAGGCTGAGGCTGATGCAGGCTGAGGCTGAGGCAGGCTGAGGCTGAGGCCGAGGCTGAAGGCAGACTGAGGCTGAGGCTGAAGCAGGCTGAGGCTGAGGCTGAGGCAGGCTGAGGCTGAGGCAGGCTGAGGCTGAGGCTGAGGCAGGCTGAGGCTGAGGCTGTGACTGCGACTGCCGTTGCCACTGCGACTGTCATCGCGAATGCGACTACGACTGCGAGAACAGCAGAATTCTACAACTGGATTCTCATCCGAATCTTAAGGGGAATGCTTCCAGATATGCTCCTACACATCGATGTTAGGTTGCTTTGCCGGGATAATACTTCTTTAAATTCTTAACGCTTCGCGTATCCCCACCAGCCCATCTCAAAACAGCAACTCTTGCGAAACATGAGGCCTCGTGGTGCCTCCTGAGGACCTCTTGTGGGCCATCTGGGGAACTCTAGGGGCCATCTGGTGGACCTCTGGGGGCCATCGTGGGGGGCTTGTATGAGCGCTGCCCGTCCTCCTGGTGTGACTCGTTCGGGCTCCTCGTGGTGTGAGTCGTTCGAGGCCCGCGTCGTGGTGTGAGTCGTTCGGGCTCCTCATGGTGTGAGCCGTTCGGGCGGCTCGTCCTGGTGTGAGTCGTTCGGGCCCCTCCTTGTGGTGTGAGTCGTTCGGGCCTCGTGGTGTGAGTCGTTTGTGGTGTGAGTCGTTCGGGCTCTTCGTGGTGTGAGTCGTTCGGGCCCCTCGTCCTGGTGTGAGTCGTTCTGGCTCCTCGTGGGGCCTCTTGGGGGCCTCTTGGAGCCTCTTGGGGCCTCTTGGGGGCCTCTTGGGGGCCTCTTGGGGGCCTCTTGGGGCCTCTTGGGGCCTCTTGGGTGCCTCTTGGGGGCCTCTTGGGGGCCTCTTGGGGCCTCTTGGGGGCCTCTTGGGGGCCTCTTGGGTGCCTCTTGGGAGCCTCCTGGGGGCCTCTTGGGGCCATCTTGGGGCCTCTGGCGATCTCTTCAGAAGCGCAAATGAGCGCTGCCCCTTGAGAAGGACAAAATGAACCCAAAACCTTAGTACAATTAATGATTCTGCTATGAAGGAAGAGGAGCGCGGCCCCCGAAGGAGTCCAAAATGGGGCCGAAACCCTAGTAAAATCAATGATTTCTGCTTCGAAGAGGAGTAGAGGCGCCAAACTCCCCCCCCCCCCCTGGGGGCCAGAATCATCGTGAGGGTCGTCGTTTTTTGGCCCTCCCAGGAGTCGAAAAAGACCCCCTTGAGTACACTCGGTCCGCCCTCTCCAGGCCCAGGCGGAGAGGGTAGGGGGAGGGGTAAACCCCTCCCCGAAGGGGAAGAAGGGGGGTTGAGGACAGAGCGGGCTCTCTAAACCACTCACGCCCAAAGGGCTGGTGGGACTACTACTACTACTACTACTACTACTACTACTACTACTACTACTACTACTACTACTACTACTACTACTACTACTACTACTACTACTACTACTACTACTACTACTACTACTACTACTACTACTACTACTACTACTACTACTACTACTACTGCTACTACTACTACTACTACTACTACTACTACTACTACTACTACTACTACTACTACTACTACTACTTCGAATATTATTACTACTACTACTACTACTAATAATAATAATATTAATGCTACGACGATCACTACTACTACTACGACTACTACTACTACTACTACTACTACTACTACTACTGCTACTACGACTACGACTACTATTACTACTACTACTACTATTACTACTACTACTACTACCACTACTACTACGATTACTACGATTACTACTACTACTACTACTACAACTACTACTACGACTACTACGACTACTGCTACTACGACGATTACGTTTATAATTACGACTACGATTACTACTACGACTACTACTACAATTAATCCTAATACGTTTACTACTACTACCACTACTACTATTACTACTACTACTACTACTACTACTACTACTACTACTGCTACTACTACTACTACTACTACTACTACTGCCATCATTACTACTACTACTACTGCTACTACTACAACTACTACTACTAAACATAGTAGTAATCTTTTACTACTACTATTACTACTACCACTACTACTACCACTACCACTACTACTACTACTACTACTACTACTACTACTACTACTACTACTACTACTGCTACTACTACTACTGACTACGACTACGACTACGACTACGACTACGACTTGTACTACTACTACTACTACTACTACTACTACTACTACTACTACTACTACTACTACTACTACTACTACTACTTTTGCTATGTGTGCGTCGCACCCCCAGGGGCGACGCATGCAACGAGGCACCTTCTGGCAGGCTCGTCGTGGCGGACACTTTCTGGCCGTGCCGCTCGGGAGGTTATGCTGTGTGTCCGGGCCGGACGCACGCCTCCGATGAGGAACAACAGTGTTAGTGTGTGCTTGTGCGTCTCAGAGGAGGTTTGAAAATCGTCCTCCGATCCGCCATCCTCCCCCCTCTCCTCCTCCCCCACCTCCTTCATCCCCTGCTCCTCCCTCCTCCCTTGCCTCCCTCCCTCTCCTCCTCATCCTGACCCTCCCTCCCTCTCCCCAACGCTCCCTCCCTCTCCTCATCCTCCTCCTCCCTCTCCTCCTCTTCCCTTCCTCCTCCACCCTCCCTCCCTCTCCTCCTGCCTCCTCCTCATCCTCCATCTCCACCCTCTTCTCTCCTCCCTCTCCCCCCCCTCCCATCGGCGTGCCGCCGAACATAGGCGGCGTGCCGAGGGGGGAAGCGAGAGGTGGCGAGTTTTCTCAGAATGCGGCGGGGCTTCTCAGGAGCCCTCTGGCTTTCTGAGGAGCCATCTGAGGCTTCGGAGTAAGCCGAGGAATTGTCTTATTCGGCCGCGGGCCTTCTGAGAGTGCCCGCCCCCTCTGCCTTCTCCCCTGGGCGCGCCGCCGAGAGGAGGAGGGTGGCGAGTTCAATTATCATTGTAAAGGGCGGGCGACATCTGGAGTGTGTCTGACTTCCATGGCCAGTATCGCATCTTGCCTCCTCTTCGATTACATCTCGTGTACGCCTGCCGCGCTTTCGTGCACTGGGAACGCACATGAGCAGCATGATCTTCGCTGTGCGGTTCTCCTCTTGCATCCTCCCATTTTCCGTCCTCGTACCTTGGTGAATAAGCGGGCATGTCTCCAGTCAATTGTAATTGCAATTCGCCTCTCAACAAGCTGCCGTTCGTGAAGAGATGGACGTGCAAGTGTCCAGGCTCCGACGTGCTGTTGAGTCTCCTCTCCCGCCTTCGCATCCGCGGGCGTCGGTTTCGGGCTCTGGCCCAGGGGGGTCGTCGGTCTATTCCTCGCACCCACACGTGGGATGTCACATCCACGGGCTTGAATCAGAAAGCATGCGGTGTTAATACCGTGGCCTTTCCTTACAGTCAGAACCAGCAGTACGGATGATTCGTTGAAGTAAAGCGTTTTTGCTTTTGTCGATTATGGGCAGTCTTTACATGTTGTTTGCTCTTTCGGCCCAACGGTACCTTGGCACGTTCGCTCGTTTTAGGTTTTAGGTGTTTCGCACTATTGGGTCCCATGCTTACGGATCGAGTTTTGTGTACGTTTGTGGAGTTCGGCAGCTCTGCGCATGGGCCAGATATCGTTTCGAGCACGCGGTGGCCGCGCCGCGCAGAGGAGTCGCATCAAAGGGTCATGAGTGGTTCTTGGGAGCGAAAGTATTCGCCACGAGCCCGGGGATCATGAGGGAACCGCGTCCTGCTTGGAGGGTATGGCTTTAGGACTCCTTTTCGCTAGATAGGGCTGCATCGCTATATGTAGATATGTTATGCGTAAGTTTTATATATGTATATATCATACTGGTAATCTATAACTAATGTTACTAACAATAATACTACTACTGATTACTATTAATGAATAATAACAATAATAGTATTATTAATAATAGTAATAATAATAAGTAGTATTATTATTAATACTACTCTTTTTACTATGCTTATCATCATTACATTGTTATTATTATTATTGTTTGTATTATTGGTATTTTTTATTTTTTATCAATAATTTTATCATCATTATTACTATTATTTTGATTAGGGTTATTATGATGATCATTATCATTATATATATATATATGTATATGTGTATGAGTAGGCCGGGGGGGGGGGGAAATCGGTGCCGTCATCCCCCATGGCCGCCCCCCCCAACCTTTGGGGGGTCAGAGACCCCCGGGGACTGCCTCGGGCCGCTTCCAAATTGCCCATGACAGGCCACGCGGGCCGTACAGATGGTAAAGAAAGCCTGAAGAGGCCCCGAAGACGCCCAAGAGCGCCCCAAGAGGGCCCGTGAGGGCCTTCAAGAGGCAAGAATCTGCCCATTTCCTTTGTAAAACGTACATATTCGGCATACTCGCTGGCTTCGTCGTCACAGTGTCCCAGACGCCCCCGCGGAGCCCCAACACAGCTTACGTAAGAGAGACCCAAGAGGAGCCCAGACGGCTCATAAGGGTCGTCCTGTGGGGCTCACGGAACCCTCCGAGACGGCCCAAGAGGCCCCAAAGCCGGCCCAGGATGCCCCCAAGACGGCTTCAGGGAAGCCCAAGAGGGCCCCGTTCGAAATCATGTTCCCGGAAGCCTCTCTGGGAACATGATTTTGCGGGTTCCGAGGGCGCCCAAGAGGCCCACAAGACAGCCTCAGCGAGGCCCCAGAGGGCCCGAGGTGGCTTGAAGGTGGCCGAAGAGAGCCCCGAGAGGGCCTTCAAGAGGCAAACATCGGCCCATTTCCTTCGTACAACGTGCGTTATTAGCATACTCGCTGGCTTCGTATTCGCGGTGCCCCAGACGCTCCCGAGGAGCCCCAAGACAGCCCAAGAGAGACCCAAGAGAGCCCAAGACTGCCCAAAAGGGTCGGCCTGTGGGGCTCACGGAACCCCCCGAAACGGCCCAAGAGGCCCCGAAGCCGGCCCAGGAGGCCCCCAAGACGGCCTCAGGGAGGCCCAAGAGGGCCCCGTTCGAAATCATGTTCCCGGAAGCCTCTGCGGGAACATGATTTCCGGGCTCCCATGGCCCCCTAGAGGGCCCCAGGACAGCCTCAGCGAGGCCCCAGAGGGCCCGAGATGGCTTGAAGATGGCCGAAAAGGGCCCAAGAGGGCCCTCGAGAGGCAAGAATCAGCCCGTCCCCGTAGTAAAACGCAGATATTCAGCATATTCCTTTGCTTCGTCTTCGCAGTGCCCCAGACGCCCCCGAGGAGCCCCAAGACAGCCCAAGAGAGACCCAAGAGGGCCCAAGACGGCCCAAAAGTGTCGTCGTGTGGGGCTGACGGAACCTCCCAAGACGGCCCAAGAGGCCCCAAAGCTAGCCCAGGAGGCCCCCAAGACGGCCTCCAGGAGGCCCAAGAGGGCCTCGTTCGAAATCATGTTCCTGGAAGCTTCTCCGGGAACATGATTTCCGGGTTCCCAGGACGCCCAAAGACAGCCCCCAGAGGCCCTGGACACTCCGAAGATGGCCTCAGGACGGCCGACGACGCCGCCTAAACGCGCCAAGAGCGCCTCCAGAGGCCCCTCCAAAGGGCCCCAGAAGCCGAAAATGATCCATGGTCCAATGGTCTTTGATGCATTCTTGCGCTCTCCCATGTTCCGCCTCCCCACGGTCCCGGACCGCGTCAGAGGCCCTTCAGATCGCTCCAAGACGGCCGAAGAGGCTCCCAAGAAAGACCAGAGGTCTCAAGAGTCTCCAGAGGCCCCTCCAAAGGGCCCCGCATTTTCGCGCTCTCGCATGTTCCGCCACCGCACGGTCCCAGACGGCGTCAGAGGCCCTTCAGATCGCTCCAAGACGGCCGTAGAGGCTCCCAAGAAAGACCAGAGACGGCCCAGGAGGCTCCCCAGATAATTCAAGAGGTTCTAGAGAGCGCTCGAAGAGAGCCCCAAGAGCGACCTAAGAGGGCCCGAAGAGCGCGACAGTTTAAGGTCTTCGGCCTGAGAGGCTCCTAGGACGCCCCCCCCGGAGGCCATCAAGAGGCTCCCAAGAAGCCCCGTGAGGCCCCCAAGAGCCCCCCGGACGCCCCACTAGGACCCCAAGGGGCCCCCAGGGAAGCCCCTATGCGGGCCCCCAAGACACTTCGGTAAATCGTATTTCCCAGATAGCTTTCCGGGAATATGATTCCTTGGGCTTCCGCCTACCGCCCCAACGATGTTTCCAGTAGGCTTGCCGACAAGGCCAGAAGGCGCCCCTCGGTAAGCCCCCAGAGGCCCCCCTCTTAGAGAGCCGAACAAATCATGCTCCCGGAAAGCTTCCCGGGAACACGATTCTCTATCTCGCAGTAGGCCGGGGGGGGGGGGGCGGCGGGCCGCTGCCTGTTCCCCCCATTGGTGCCCACAGGGGGTTGCGGGGGGGGTCCAGAGCTCCCGAGGCGGCCCGAGCCCGCCCCGAAGCAGGCCACGACAGGCTAATGGAGGTCCCCAGAGGGCCCAAGACGGTCCCACGAGGCCCAGAGACGCCCAAGATGCCTTCAAGACTGCCGACGAGGACTCCAACACGCTCCAGGACGGACTCAAGAGGGTCTCCAAGAGGGCCCTGGGAGGCAAGCTTCACTCGTTTTCCGAGTGTTTTGGATTTTGGCGTTCTCGCTTTTCTCGCTTTCCAGCGCTCCCTTCACGGCGTCGGAGACCCTTCAGATCGCTCCAAGAAGGCCCACGAGGCCCCGACAAGGGCCCCAAGACGGCCCAGGATGCTTCCCAGACAACCCAAGTGCGCCCCAAGAGCGCGCAAAGAGAAGGCCCAGAGGGGTCCCGAGGCGGCCCGGGCCGGGCCCGCTCCGAAGCAGGCCACGACAGGCTAATGGAGGTACCGAGAGGGCTCTAGACGGTCCCAAGAGGTTCCGAAGATGCCCAAGCTGCCCTCAAGACTGCCGATGAGGAGTCCAACACGCTCCAGGACGGACTCAAGAGGCTCCCCGAGAGGGCCCTGGGAGGCAAGATTCACTAATTTTCCGATGGTTTTTGAAGGATTTAGGCGTTCTCGCTTTCCCCGCTTCGCAGCGCTCCCTCACGGCCTCGCTCGGAGGCCCTTCAGATCGCTCCAAGACGGGCCACGAGGCCCCGAAGAGGGCCCCAGGACGGCCCAGGTGGCTCCCCAGACAACCTAATTGTGCCCCAAGAGCTTCCAAAGAGAGGGCCCAGAGGGAGACCGCCAACCGATATTTCGAGGTCTCTGGCCCTAGAGGCCGCCTATAGGCACCCGGAGGCCACCAAGAGACTCCCACGAAGCCCCGTGAGGCGCCCAAGAGGCCCCCAGGAAGCCCCAAGAGACCCCCAAGGGGCTCCCAGGGAACGCCCACGAGGCCCCCCAACACACCCCAGAAAACCTTCCAGGGACATGGTTCATCATGGGCCCGACAGTTCCCGGAGGCCTCCAAGGGGCCCCCAGGGAACGCCCAAGAGACCCCCCAACACACCCCAACAAACCATATCCCCAGAAAGTTTTCCGGGGACATGGTTCATCATGGGCCCGCGAGTCTTCGGAGGCTTCGAAGTACCATCATGCTACAGAAGAGCTGTCTGGGAAGTTGATTGGGAACATGACTGATCGCCTTCTCGCGGCCCTCCGCAGATCGTTTCGCACAAAGTTGCCCCAAGTGCGTTCTTGAACCGACGACGACGACGAAACGACGAAGACGACGACGACGATGACGACGACGACGACGACGACGGCGGCGCGCCCCAATAGGCGACGACGGCATTACGTCGACGACGACGACGACGACGACGACGACGGCACGCCCCAACAGGCTTCCCAAGACGCCCCCACAGCCATGCTCCCAGAAGGCCTTCTGGGAACCCGATTCATACGGCCTTCGCCCCCCTACGCAACCATTTTTCTCGAAGGCCTTTTGGAATGCAGATTGGCATGTGTGTACTGTGGTCCACTACTTCAGTAGAGCAGTGAATTCGTCAAGGCCTGGGGCCTGCTAGAACCTGTTCGCGCGCGAAGCGCACGCGATGGTTCTAGTATATATATATATATAATAATAATAATAATAATAATAATAATAAAACATATATATATGTATACGAGTGTGGACCCGTGGATTCAATCCACGGAGTTGTGAGGATCGAGTGTTGGTGGCGCGCGCCGCGTTCGGCGTTCGCACCTGGCGCCGACTCTCCTTAGAAGGGGTGGCTCCGGCGGGGGAGGGTGGGGGCGGCGTAAGAGCACCATCCTCTTTGGAGGATTCCGGCCCCAGGAAACCTCCAA